CTCTGTGCACGACCGATTTTCGTGTGTATGAAATTCAACACGCCCGGAAAGGAGCAACCGCGTTCACAGATGTATATTTAGAAGCCTCAAAACACCATTTCGAGGTTATTTGTGTTCCATAGATAAGACAGTAGCATTAGCCTTATTCCTCGGAAAAAAACAGGAGAATAGCCGTATAGTTAGGTCGATATTTTAACTGAACCACTGAACCACTGAACAACATACGTTATTTGTGTTCAACAAGCAATTTCGTTTCGTAGCGCAAAACGCCCCAGACGCACCTGTTGGAAGTTAGCAGCACTGATCATTGGATCGTCCACGACACCCACACACTTCGGAACTAATGTGGACGCGCCTGTGGTCGCCGCGACAAGTCCACGCCACGAGGCGAGAGCGCTTAGGGCTTAGTTTGTGTTACGTTAACTGAAAAACCACGATGGTAACGACGAAGCCGTGATTTCACAACCACAACCCGCGTGTTTTTTTAACCGGTGCGCTTGAACCACGGTAGCACTTGCAAATTGTCAATCTAAGAACATAGTGGCGTTCTGCTTTAAGGACGCCCACGCCATGAACCAGAAACGGGAGTAGTAAGAGCTTCAACAGTGCTCGGCTGGCTGGTCATTACGCTTTTCAAGGCCACAGGGATATTTATTCTCGATCGGATCGTGTTTTAGTGGTGCCGTTCTTTTATTGACTGGTATATATCTGACCTGTCTGCTGGTAGAAAGTCGACAGGCTTTTAAAGGTTATCTAGATTAAAACACTGGATGGGACTTCTTTTTGGAAAGCTGACCTTCCAAGTGACCAAAGCCAGCCTCAGGAATAAATAGCTTTCGTTTTGTCCAAAAGAATGTATATTCTCATGTGTTCTTACTGCCATATTCTGCTGGCTCCGTCAAGTAAAACCAATGCTGTACCACTACATAATACAAAAAGATTATTAAGGGCTAGGAAGAGTCGCCTCTTGGTCATCCATTTGGGCTCCTCCCCAAACCGCTAGCACTCAGAAGTGGTGCGATCGCTTGGCTGTTGTCGGCCGCCTGCACCCCAGTGTGCATGCATTCATTCGCGTGACTTGATAAGACAGCACAAATGAATGACCGCCACCTGGGTGAACGACAGGTGGAGATAACATTGGAAAGACTGAAAACCACGGTGCACTTGTGGTGGCGGTGGGATCAAGTTCAGCGCGCTTTAAGGCTTGACACGGTTCGTCCTGCGCTCTGAAGTCATTTGACACGTGACCCCTGCCACCGCCTGAATATCATGCCAACTAGAGCAAATAGCGAGCGCCCCAAGCGGCTGAAAACCAACGCGCCACAAATGGGTACATCGGAGCATGGATATTCCAACCAAATGAGCCACCTAGACGGACAGCGTTATGCTCACACGGTCGTAATTCACCTGTGGCGCCACTTCTGTCCAGCTTTAACATCCGACAAAGATCCCACGTGATGACACGTAGAAGCTTTGCTACTCCCGTCAAGACACTTACTGATATTGTGCCCCAATGCGTTACCGGCGTAGGATGCATGTTGGCTCATTGTTTATTACCTGACTCTGCCACTGTTGCATCTTGCGAGGTAGTGTAAAGGAAATATCAAATGATGGGTAGATTGCTACACAATGGACGAAAGAGAAGCCTTAGGAGAATGGCGTCAGAAAGTTTGTCGGCATCCATACCGCACGGTTGCTAGTGTCTACAGACGCGTCTGAAATGTTATTTCCATTGATAACCATGACAGCAGGTGTCAAAAAGAAACAACAACATTGCTCGACAGCTGAAACTGAAAGCTGACACCTACACCTGAACTAATACCTAATAAACCGAGCCCGTCACCAACCGTTGAAATGACCCTCACACCTCCCCCTTGCCAGACCGCCTGGCGTCGCCCCTGCACAAGCAATGTCGTTTTCTGTGCATACGGCATGTGTTATTTGCATTTATCTCGTTATTGGAAGCTGTGATAACATCTATTCGTAAGATTAGACCGTCTACGTGCTATTTGGCATGCCTGAAGTCGAAATGTAATCGCTCAAACTCCTCCCCTTCTTGCTCCTGGATCCACCTCTTGCACATTGCATACAATGCACATCTCCCAAACGCGATCAGTCCTAATGGAGCGATGGTGTGATAATTCCTCTTAGCCAAACATCGAACGAGCCCTGTGAGAGAACCGTTGATGGAGCATTCACCTCGAACAGCCTATGGTTTGCCCTAACATACCTCCTGAAGCGAGGTGCTTTGCTTCCTGGAGGCGACTGCGGATGTTTGGACAACTGACATTTTGACATGCCGTGTGAAGCTGGCATTTAGAAAAACTCACCTGTTTTCAGAACAGTTGTTTCATGGGAGGCAGCTGTTTATGGGTTTCTTATAAGCAGATATGGCGAGCATACAGATGTGAAAAACGCCCGGGTTAAGATGACCATCGCGTGACAGGGGACAAAGAGAATGCTTCACACTTCAGAACTGTCAGAGAAGGATAAAATAGGTTCAAAAAGCGTTCGGTGGACGTGACAATGTTGGTTGGTTTGGTTTGCTTTGTTTTCTTGTCACAAAGTGCCGGAATCCTAAAATGGCGGCAGGCGTCGGGACCCGCCGCTCCCTGTCACCGGAAGTCTCGGGTGATCGGTATGCATGCGCCACGTGCAGTCTGGGTGGTTTGTGCGATTCTTCACACAGCTGCAGCTCACAACAAGGCATTTCAGGCACCAGTTTTATTAGCGATATTATAGCATCGTGAAACACATGTTTGTGTTGCAGAATGGGAGAGAAGACAGCAAAACTGGGAGAATGACTCAGGGTAGCTCGCATGACCTCCGGCGCCGCCAGGTTCAACTCGCAGCGCCTGTGATACCATGCAGCTGGACAATGTACACACTTGCAAGAGATCCTGAAAGGCTGACGGTTTTTTGAAATTCTCAAAAACCTTATAGGATGTTACATTAACACCCCTACCAGGGTGAGGGTTAAAAGGTGAGGGCGATCACGTGAATTTGCTGGTTTTCAAGCCGATTGAATGCGCGTGTATGAGGGGTTCCCACAGGACTTCCGTAAGGGAGAGCCCGACCTCAAGGGAGCCGGACACGAGCCGTCAGAGGAGCTCTGCTTGAGTCCTCACGATACCCTCTCAGCGAGAAGCAGCTGCATGACAGTATGTCGATGCTATCTTTGCGGGGCCTGTTGGTGGTTTTGGGAGCCTGAAGCGGTGAAGTGACTTATCTTAGTCCTTGGATGAATGAAAATGATCCTGGTCTCATGCAGACGTATTATTAAGTCCGCATGAGGCGATCATGTCGAGCTGAATGGTGAGGTTTTGAATGCCAGTGTCGCCTCTGACCCGTGAATAAAAAAAAAACACAAACCAACTGGCAATCTTTGCCAATGCGGAGAGAGGGAAATAGCAAACGCTTCGGCATATCTTGCCTTGTATCACGATTAAGCCTTACCCGTCCACGTGATTCTGCAAGCTCCGAGGCCCGGCGTGAGGGTGAGCTCGGCCGCCGCAGCCTCGCTGCCGGAAAGTCGCTCACTCGCACTGGCCTCCCGAACACCGCCTACACCATCAGCGGACACAAACTCGCGTGAAGCGTACAGAAGCGCAGGTGCATGACCACTGCAGCGACACGGCAGATGTAGAGGGTGCATGCAAGTCCGGTGGCTATCCTGTGACTATAGAGTCTCATCGGCGATTTGCATGGAAAATCCTTAGTTATCCTGACATCTCAAGTTCACTGACTTAGTCCTAAAATAATTCAACATAACGCTCAGGGGCATGCGCGTAACTAAGCAGCCCGGATGGTGTTTCAAGTTGACAACATTGTTGAAACAAAAATATTAAATAAAAATGAGAGATATAAACAAAAGACTTGCTATGCATGTCATTATCGGATATCGAGATTTCTTAAGCTCCTAGTTAAACAATATTACAATCAGATGCTGGTCATTTTGTCAAAATTTGGCGTTTCAAGCTGTGGCTATGGTACCTAGTGAACAAGATTCAGCCAAAAAAAAGAAAACTAAAACGGGTGCATATCAAGGTGAAAATTTTCTGTATATGTGGAGACCGCGACCTTCAAAATGCGTAAAAATATCAGTAATTCGCGGTACTCCCACATCGCAACAACCCACCCGCGGTACTTTGCTAATGGCTGCACGAAAGGCAGGCGGCTAACGCGTCAGGTTCCGATGACGCACGCCGAGTAAAAGGTTAGAGAATTACTTCCCTAGAATATCACTAATCATGAGCATTGCACGAATATCACGGACATCCTGGTTAGTCAACTTAACACTCCTATCACGTGTCGAATATAAGGACGTTTGATGCATGTTTAGAATAAGTTCGTTATTCGCCGTGATCCGCACTCAAGCCGCCGGCACGTTTCTTTTCGGCGTTATTCTTGGTGCAGATCATCAAAGCCCTTCAGCTTAGCCGCCTACACTCCGCGCAACTCTCAGTTTCATCGGCCATCGGATGGCAAGACATGATATTTCAATTGCCTCATTATTTTGAAATATTTTTATATCAGTTCCTGCACTGATTCCAAACGTTTTTTGCATACAAGTGCCGTAGCTAGCAATTTTTATTCTTATTTTTGCTCGTACTTGTTCACATATGGCCATGAACGCGGCTAAAAACTTAAGTTCCTACAACGTAGCCAATGTTTGCTTGATGACGCCGTTTGTCTAGTGTTTCCTCGTCTACTCCACATCTGAAATATGAAGTTGATTATTGTCGACAAAATATTTCCACTCTCTCAAAACCTGTTTCTACCATTCCATCTTCATGAACTTTTTTGTCGTTTGCCTCTTGTCAGAGATCCGTCTACTCTGCGTCCTACCCGTAACCCCAGTCCTCTGTAATCGCCCAGTCTGCCTCCTCCGCCCGCTCCGCCCCCTCCGTCCGCTCCGTCCCCTCCGCCCCCTCCGCCGACCAATGCAGCGAGCAGCGGCCTCCCCGGCGCTCAGTAGGCTGCTGGCGGCGGCGCGGTGAGGTTCCATACGGATGATCGCTGCCGCAGTCTGGCGCGGAGTTCAGTAGGCTGCTGGCGGCGGCTCGAGGAGGTTCCGTACCGCTGATCTCTGTCCCAGTCTGGCGCGACCGGCGAGTCGAGACGTCGCTCCGTGCTGAAGTCGGCGGCTGTTCCGCGCCGACTCGCACCGTCGGAATTCGGCGGTTCTGCTGCGCTGACTGCCCGTGTCGGAGGGTCGGCGGCGCGGCTCGTGTCGGCGCGTGCCCGGGAGGACTCGTGACCCGTGTCGGGGCGTGCCCGGGAGGAATCGCGGCTCGCGTCGGGGCGTGCCCGGGAGGACTGGCGACCCGGCGAGATGCGTGCTCTGATGCTCGTGCTCGGCCTTTTCGTGACGGCGGCGCTGGCGCAGGCCGAGCGAACCCCTGTGAAGCGGGAACCCCCCAAGGAGGAAGCGTTTGTGGCCAAGTGTCGCAGTCAATGTGCCGCCCAGGTGAGTAGAACGGTGTGGTGATGCTTGTGAGATCAGGTGGATCTGGCAATAGCACAGTTTATTTTAAGCTCGCTTGGTGGACGGGCAATTATTGAGTGCTATATGGGCATTTTGGCTGTCGTGCAGGAAAAAAAATGGAGCTGAGCGTCGGGTGCAATGAAATTGGGTTAATATCACAATCGTGACATAATTGTACCTTGTAAGCAAATGATTCCCTCCGAAAATATCACCGCACTTAAATGTTTGCAAATCGAGCAGATGTGTTCACGTTGGTGTACATGTGGAAACGCAGAAGCAGTCGCAGCGATGCATTTTGACGGGATTTTGCATTGGGCCTCTTCGCAAATGACATTTCGAGTGTAGTGTACCAAGTGAGCCTGGTTGACAACATCTGTTCCCAATTCTTGTATAGTCAAAACTTGCTTTCATTTGCCTGTTCCTTGGTCTGGGGGAATGGATGCTGGGTCCGTCGTCCAGCGGATAGGTACGGGTCCCAAGGCGGGCGTATGATGTGACCTGACTTGCATGACAAGATCAGCTGGCAACTGGCGAACGAGAAACAACTCAGCCCCCGGGTGGTGAAGCCGTGCGACACGTACATAGCATGTGCCGAGCATAAATGTTCCATTAAATTACGCAAGTACAACTAGAAGGGCACGCACAACAAGATTCGCCGAGCAATTCCTTTGAGGCCACGCCACCCAAGCAAATGATTCTGAATAGTTAAAAAACCTCAGATGTGCATTGTCTTTATATAATGATATTGGCTGAGGCCCGTGTTGAAAGCTTAGTTGCTCTTTTACGTCAATTTTCAGAGAAAGACAAAAAAAGCATTTAAAACGTACAGTGCTACGTACGCCCTTTCAGGTTCAATAACAGCGTAGAATACCTGTTCCAACTGTGTCAATTCAAAAGAGGCATCTTTACAATTCGTACGTTTATCACCGATGAAGTCTTCTTTCAAATCTATGACAAAATCTTCACAGTGATTAGTAGGAAGTGGTTGGGAGTGAGAGGCCTGAGAACTGCACATTAGCTGTTTTCTTTTCCTTTCACACATTGATGGAAAGCAGGAGCTGGGCATGTTGGGAGAGAGTCTGTGGTTTTGCTCCATCTAAGACTGCCTGTGCCCTCGGGCTGCAGGAGCTTTCCACAAATCCCTTGTATTGCTGGACTAATGAGCAGCTTCCAATAAGATCAGAATTGATAGCTTACTGTGGTCGTGACTCACTCTGGATGCAATGAACGCCTGCTTGTAGATGTACATCTTGCTTGGGATAGCGTTAAGTGTGGTCTGCAGTATGATGATGTCGTATACTGGCATCATTTATCATATTGCTTTAGCAATGATCATTGATGCTGATTTTTTGCTTTCGTTTTGGCGTAAGGTCGTTTCAGACACCTGTGGCTTCAGAATTTGAGGAAACTCTTACACAGCCCTCTCGTCCAGAAAAGCCCTTCACCCTATAACCAACCGGACATGTTATATGTGAGGCTATGATAACCAACCCATAAACCTTGACTTCGGCTATCATTCGGTACGCTCCCGAATTTTAAGGAATCTCTCTCTCTCTCTCTCTCTCTCTCTCTCTCTCTCTCTCTCTCTCTCTCTCTCTCTCTCTCTCTCTCTCTCTCTCTCTCTCTCTCTCTCTCTCTCTCTCTCTCTCTCTCTCTCTCTCTCTCTCTCTCTCTCTCTCTCTCTCTCTCTCTCTCTCTCTCTCTCTCTCTCTCTCTCTCTCTCTCTCTCTCTCTCTCCTCTCTCTCTCTCTCTCTCTCTCTCTCTCTCTCTCTCTCTCTCTCTCTCTCTCTCTCTCTCTCTTCTCTCTCTCTCTCTTCCTCTCTCTCCTCTCTCTCTTCTCTCTCTATCCTCTCTCTATTCTCTTCTCTCTCTCTCTCTCTCTCTCTCTCTCTCTCTCTCTCTCTCTCCCTCTCTCTGCGGCTCTGCATGTCTATCTGTCTCGGTCTGTTGCTGGTTATTATAAGGTCACGCAAGTTTGATGCTTATTATCATTTTCTGCTCGCGCTGCTTCGATACAACGCCCTCTGCCTGCTGGCATGACGAGAACTGTGGGCCAATATCAGCATGTCGAGTAAGTCCGGTAGCGCCGAGCCATGACCAACTTATGTCAATACTGGTCGCCTACTGTTAACCACGATCATTGCTATCAACTGCAATTATACTTCTTATCGTGAGACCACGAGGTAATTTATTCAGCATAACGAACTATGGAAGCCCAATGCAAGCGCTTTATGTAACATGCATGAGAAAAACGACCTGGAGCCTCTCTCTCTCTCTCTCTCTCTCTCTGCGGCTCTGCATGTCTATCTGTCTCGGTCTGTTGCTGGTTATTATAAGGTCACGCAAGTTTGATGCTTATCATCATTTTCTGCTCGCGCTGCTTCGATACAACGCCCTCTGCCTGCTGGCATGACGAGAACTGTGGGCCAATATCAGCATGTCGAGTAAGTCCGGTAGCGCCGAGCCATGACCAACTTATGTCAATACTGGTCGCCTACTGTTAACCACGATCATTGCTATCAACTGCAATTATACTTCTTATCGTGAGACCACGAGGTAATTTATTCAGCATAACGAACTATGAAAGCCCAATGCAAGCGCTTTATGTAACATGCATGAGAAAAACGACCTGGAGCCGGATCTCGTTTTGACAATCAATAAGATTTACGGGACGTCTATGCCATCTGTATGTGTTTAATATGGCGGTCGGATGCAACTATACAACTTGACGTAACATTGGGCTGTCAAGTAAAGATGAGGCATTTTTAAAACATTGCGGAGTGTTTAAGTGTGTTAGCGGTTTTGACATGAAGCAAATATGCCGTGCGTGTTCAAAATTGAGCATATACACAGCACGCCGGTATATCATGTTCGAACCGAAATTGGCAAAAGGGAGTGAAATATTGAAAACCAAATCGGTTAAATCAAATTCCACATTTAGGATTGGCTAGTTGCCTGGGTGTCTCCAAATAGTAATCCGTTTTTAAATATAGATGCTACATAAAGTTCCTATAGAATCCAAAAAGCGAACGATGCTTTGGTGCTTAAATTGAAACAGAGAGGCGCATCCTTCATACTGCGTGAATGCTTATAAATAAGCAATATACACAAACTCGAAGCAGAAACCACTCAAATGCACACCCGAAGACGGCGACACCGGACGACACCCGGAACTGACGTCGGGCTCACGTCTGTATTTCGATCGCACCGCTCGCGCACCGTGGGAAGCGTGCCCGGTTCCCGCCGGTCGTAATGCACTTGGGAACACTCACAGCACGGTTAGCGTACCCAGGCCCGCCTTTCTCAGCCGTTCCCTCTGCGCAGGCTCACAGAGCCGTCCCGTATAACCGACGCCGATCATGCTCTCACGACTCCTTCCGCAGAGGCGCGCCCCGGCCGAAAGGCGCGAGCTCTGTTATCTTTTTACTATAGCACGCTTGTTGTCGTTTGTTGTTGTTTGTTGTTGCGATGCCGAGCGTTGATGCCAAGCAGTTGGCGGGCGTTCTGTGTTGAATGGCGAACATTAATTCGCGTTGTGCAATGTGAAACTCGACGAATTGCGTGCAGCAACCCATCCTCTTGTTAACCAACGACTGTTTCCGACCTCTATCCACACGAACCAGGCGAACATGGCCGATTACAGCCGGTCAGTTAAGTGTTGACAACGCTGTTAGTTACGGCCATCGCGCGGTTTGCAATTGCCTCGGAATGTCAATTGCGCGATTGTCATGGTACTGATTTCTAATAGCTCAAAGACAACAGGGATGATCATTATTCAGTGTTTTGCGCCTTCTTGCCTCTGCAATTTTCCGCTGTTGCGACGGCGCAAAGACGGTTATCCAACAGCCTGAGAGCAGCCGAGACCAATTGGAGTCATACTGTGAGTCGTAGCTCAGATGTGGAATAGTTAGAGGTTTTCGGGACGGTTTGGAGCAACCAGGAACTGGTTGAAAAGAAATCGTGGCCTTTAACTTTTGTTCTCTGTTGCTCTGTTGACTTACAAGTCATGCTGTGTTCGTTTTTGTGAGAGATGTTAGAGAAACAGCGCTTCCACCGCTCATGTCAAAACCGTCTCACGTTCTGCCGGCATCTTCACAAGCCGTAAATTTCCCTGCATACGCTGACGTCTCTTTTTACCGGAACGGAGACCTGGCGGGCGATAAGCACGCTGAAGGTCGTCGTGCGCCCGTTGATTGGATCTGACCTTGCTCCTGCATCCGTCCAGCGTCAGTCGGCGGCGTCCGTGCCTGATAGCAGTCGCCGCGCAGTCCACCGATTGCTATCGCGCCGCCGATTTCGTCCAGCCCCGCCTCCGGACCACATCCAAAACTCGATCTCGGCCGATTTTTGCCCGCCTGCAGCATGCACAAACCCCGGCTGACACGACGGCAGTCGGACTATCCGGTCGGCGGCGGTGCTGAGGCCGGCCGGTCACGTGGGCGACTGTACGGGCCTGCCTCGCGGTCGGCGGTGACAACCCCGCAGCCGGCGCCTGCGGTCCGGCGCCGGCCTGCTGACGCCGTGACCGGCGGTGAGCGACGCGACGTCACCGTGGCCGCTCGTGTGCTGTGAAGAGCTTGGAGAGCTGAGAAAGCCTGTCGGAGGCTCGCAAGGACTGAAAGGCTCTGAAATTATTTCCAAAAATTAACGCAATGCCATCCGCTGGGTCTGTGAGATGATGATATCTGCCGAGAGTCCGTTTAAGAGTGTGGACAAATTGGTCCGAGCCTGAAAAACTATTGATGGGCCTTTGAGAGTGATGAGTTTTTTTGAGCGGTGTAAGACTGATAGACGTTGAGTCCACAAGGCACTACACGACCCTGTGGGGCTCGCAAGTATCTCAGGGCTGGCCGTTTGGAACCGAGAGCCCGCAGCAGCCGGTGAGAGCGCGCAGCGGCCGGTGAGACTCCTCTGCAGCTGGTGGGAGCCCGCTGCAGCCGTTGAGACCCCGCGGCAGCCGGTGAGAGCCCGCTGCAGCCGGTGAGAGCCCGCTGCAGCCGGTGAGAGCCCAGCTCGCTCTCAGCCTGTTCACTCCGCAAGTCCGCTGAGCGAGCTTGCGGAGCCAGGTGAGAGCCCTGTGGGATCCCGCTGCGGCCGCACTCTTACCGCCGCTGCCGTGGGAGCGGCGCCGGGTCCGTGAGAGCCGGCAGTGCCAGACCGCAGCCCTAACGGCAGCCCGGTCACGCCAGGCGGCGCCGGAAGAAGCCACTTCCGGGACGGTCGGACCGAACCGAAGCGGACGGCGGGTTCCCACAGGCGGCGGCTGCCGGCGTCGACGAATTAGCGACTGTGATTGGTTCGCGTGGCATCGGATGTGCGGTGAAGCTGTTTTTGCACAACTGTCATGTATACTCGCGAGTACAAATCATCGGGATTTACCAGTCATAAACACGACCACAAACCACCACCAGTTCGTTGTGGACTGAAACGGTGCTATTTTTCTAACAGGGAAGACAACTTGGAATCGTTTCGGTAACTGGCTGTGTGCTCTCAGGGTTGAGTTCACGGAAAAAGTTATCCATTTTGTCTACAACGAAGCACCAGTTCTGATTGTATTAGGTTCTCTTAAACCCTGCTTGACACGGCACAAAAACCTTTGTTTTCACTACTCCCACGTGAGGCGCCACATGGCTGCCATCATATGCGCAGTGTCGTCGGGTTCCCAGCACGACCATTATCGACAGCCCTGCTCACTCTACTGCGGTCCATGGTTGACTTCATGCGCCGACCGACAGCGCGGGTAGATCAGCCAATATGGAGCCGAGCTCATGACTGCAGCGGCAGAAAATGTTGCGCCACTATCAGGCGCCGGTAGCGTGATTTCACAAATGCGACTAACCTGCATGCGCCATGTTTGCCAGCCAGCTCATTAATCGTCCGTTTTTGCAGCGGCTACATAAATTGGGTGCCAAAAATGCACACGACTACATCATCAATTTCGCTGAAATTATCCAATCGCCACATGGTGATAAATGGCCAGGGCATCGCCGACAAAGTGCAGGAAAATCGTGCATAACCGGTCTTCCGATTTCATTAATGGTCAGTCTTAATTCTTTCATTCATATCGCACATCGTTTCCAAGTTATCTAAAGAAAAACTCGAAGAAAGGTCCTAAGTCTAGCTATATGACGTGCGCGTGTCCCTCCGCATGCGTCTCTGTTTCCCCTCAGCGCGTCTACCCTCGGTTGTTGTACAGATCCCTTCACATACATCAAACATTTAGGTGATAACCTTAACCTTACAAGCGTTAAAGGACGATCCCAGCTCCAGCCAATGCTCCTTTCTCTTGTAGATGCCTTCTGACCCGCCACGGACACCCTCTGTCCCGCCACGGACGCCCTCTGCCCCGCCACGGATGACCTCTGCCCCGCCACGGACACCCTCTGTCTCGCCACGGACGCCCTCTGCCCGCCACGGATGACCTCTGCCCCGCCACGGACACCCTCTGTCCCGCCACGGACGCCCTCTGCCCGCCACGGATGACCTCTGTCCCGCCACGGACACCCTCTGTCCGGCCACGGGTCGCCTCGTCTCGGCGGCTGCGTCCGTCACGGCCGTGAAGGTCGTCCGCACGTCGGCGGCAGACCGAGCGTGGCCGGCGTGCCGCTTGAGGGACCTTCTCCCGGGTCGGGCCGGTCCGCCGGCTGGGTTTGGCTCCCCTGGCGCTGATGGCCGGGTCGGGCGCCGGACGCTGCTCTGCTTCTCCGGCGAGCGAGCTGCGGCCGACGGAGAGACCGGTCAGTGGCGCGGGGCGGCGGCGCACCGGACAGCAACACAAGACAGGGGCAGCGGGCAGCGTCACGATAGCCGTGCCGGGCAGCCGAGCAGTCGGGCAGTGATATCTGACAGCCGTGCCTGACGATGCCACTGGATGTACATTTATTCATTGCTCCAAGTTCATTTGTGCGGCCATTATACAAAGACGGCGACTCCAGATACGCATCAGGACATCGATACCGGACAGTGACACCAAACAGGGACGTCACGGGACTTTCAGGGCGGCTGCTACGCCAGCTGTCCCACCACCATCACTACCTCTCGAGCTCGAGCCACGGCCGGCAACCCTCGGTCGGCCCAGATGGCTCGTGACGTCATGCATCGGGACAGCCCCGCGAGCGGGGTCGCTGCCAGAAGACTGGTTGGTTCCAGCCACCGGTCGGTGGCCGGTCGGAGCTCCGCTCGTGACTGGAACGCTGCCAGATCGAGGACGTCTGGTGGCGGCGATAGGAGGAGTTTCGCGACATGATGATCGCCATCAGTCTGCCCGCTGCCCCGACGGTCGTGATGCTGGTGATGCCCCTTCCCCTTGACTTCGGCGAGTAGCATTGCTGTGAAGCGAAACTAACTCGAAGGAGTTGTACCCATTCAGTGGTGTGCTGAGAATGTGGCAACGGTAACGCGATCAATGTTGATTTCCTGGCACCAAAACACCGCTTTGTACCACTGTGTTTCAGAGTTGGGCGCTGTCCACAAATGTCCTCATAACATGGTCACCAGAATGCATCATCCCTTCTCCTCTCCTCTCAAACGGAGAACTGTTGACAATGCAAGAAAATGTCGCCTTTGATTTTTGAAAATAGGGGAGCTAGGACGCAAGCAATCATTTTGGCAAATCTGTAAATCCAGCCTGGTGCCGCGGTGCCCGACTCTGAGCGCCTCCCGTCGTGGCCAGTACGGGTAGCGGCGCTCCCCCGCGCTGGAGCCGCCCGGACCACAGCTGGGTCTGACCAGAGCCGCCCGGACCACAGCTGGCCTGGCCGGAGCCGCCCGCACCACAGCTGGCCTGGCCGGAGCCGCCCGGACCACAGCTGGTCTGGCCGGAGCCGCCCGGACCCCAGCTGGTCTGGCCGGAGCCGCCCGGACCACAGCTGGCCTGGCTGCAGCCGCCCGGACCACAGCTGGCCTGGCCGGAGCCGCCCGGACCACAGCTGGGCCTGGCCGGAGCCGCCCGGACCACAGCTGGCCTGGCCGGAGCCGCCGACGTCCGCGGAATGCGCGTCGCTGTTTTGCCGCGCTCCCGCTATCTCGGCGTATCTGGCGCACCCGCTGCGACCGATAAGTGATCGGCTGGTGACGATAGCCAGGCGAAGGCGTGCGACTCGGCTCGCTGGGGCATTCCTGGCGCGCCGGCCGGCTGCCGGTGACACCCGTCTCCGGTAACAGGGCCTTCTCCGGTGACGGCGCCGTGTTGTGGTAGAGGGTTCAGCGGCTCGGCCTCGGTGCGTGTGCTCACCATGCGCGGGCCGCGGCCGCACAGCCACGAGCTCAACGACGGGCCGCAAAAACCAGGCAGGGACCACCCTCACACCACTGTCCGACTGCGAACGATGCCGTGGAGTCGCTATGCCCGCTGCCGGCCGGGCGCCGCGGAGACGTCGAGGGTCTGATCGGCGCTCCGGGCGGCTCCGTCCGGAGCCTCGCGGGCGCTGCCTCCAGAATGAATCGATCACGGGCGGCGCGGACCGCCATCTGGTCCGCGGCGGTCGCTGACGGGCGTCGGACCGCCGTGAAAACACGGCCGGCCCGCTCCGGCCCTGATCGCGCCTCGCCGCACGCTAATTGTTACCGGGACGGCCCGGACTTCGCCGGCCTGTGCGCGCCTATTGACGTAATTGCTGTTTTTACCGGAAAAATCGGCGGGGTAATGGCTGCGCTCGGTTACGAAGCCTGGCATTATCGCTCGGGCATTGGTCCTATTCTGCATGTATGAGTCTATTATGGGGGCACAGTAATGGCGTTATAATTAAAGGGCCACCGGTTCGGTCATTCAAAGGGGTAGGTCGCCGGTACGGAAGCAATATAGATGCCGTAATTATGTCTGGCTTTGTCGGGTCGGTGACCTGTTTTTTTGCGGTGGTCCGCGTCTAATGACAGATCTCCCTTTGTTGCAGCTGACGTCCGACCACTCCCGGGACAGTTGTCTCGAGCAGGAGGAGTGTCTTCGGGTGAGTACTCTCCTGTCGGCTCGCTTTTGAAGCCGCTCGCTGTTCACACGTGACTTCATCCATGAAGCCCGAGTTTAAACCTATGGCGTCTCGGACAGGTGACAGCGTGTCTTCCGTTCTCACGGTCATCGGTAGCGTCTGGATACAGTGGCCCTCAAGAGCCCACAGTGACAGTCCTGAAGTCCCGTTATCCTCCAGTAACAGTTCGGAAGTCCTGTGATCCTCCAGTGACAGTTCTGAAGTCCCGTGGTTCTCCAGTGGCGGTTCTGAAGTCCCGTGATCCTCCAGTGACAGTCCTGAAGTCCCGTGATCCTCCAGTGACAGTCCTGAAGTCCCGTGATCCTCCAGTGACAGTCCTGAGGTCCTGTGATCCTCCAGTGACAGTTCGTAAGTTCCGTGATCCTCCAGTGACAGTTCTGAAGTTGATCCTCCAGTAAGCCTGTTCCCTAACACCGATCCCAGGACGTCAGCGTCGGCGTCGGCGTCGGCGCGGCCATAGCCGGGGTCGGCTGCGTGCGCTGGAGGCTCCCCTCGTCGGCTGTGTGTGCCGCCCCCGCCGCGCTGGCGTCAAGCGGCATTGACCGCATGTCTGGGCCGGCCGGGCACCTCGCGCTTTGATTCACTGGTGAGGTGTGTGCGACACCGCTCGCCCCGCCGTCAGCCGCACACATGCCGACCGGGCGGCGACCAGACGCCGTTTGAGGGCACGCCGCTCACTGGCACCACGACACCCTCCCAACGACCATGGCTACGGTCAACTTCGGCCTCAGTGCTTCTTGGCGCTCGACGGAAAGCCACAAACTCGGCTCGTGCTCAACTATTGAATGAGGTCCTGAATTCTGTCGATTCCCACCAGCTGTCTAAATCCGGTGCACTGTCTCATGGCTCGAGTCCGCAACCATCTTCGGCCCAGCGTGTGCCGTCCCGTCCATTACGGCTCCCCGGTTCACCCACAGCGGCATCGCCACCCCTCCACGTCCACCGACAGCGGCATCGCCACCCCTTCATATCCACCCACAGCGACATCGCCACTCCTCCACGTCCACCCATAGCACTATGGCCATCCCTCCTCGTTCACACACAGCGGCATTGCCATCCCTCCTCGTCCACCCATAGCGCCATCGCCACCCCTCCACGTCCACCCACAGCGGTATCGCCACCCCTCTACGTCCACACACAGCGGCATCGCACCCCTCCACGACGTTCTCAATCTCAACTTTGAGTTTTATTTTGTCGGCTTTGTCTCAACGCTGTCGGCTATTTACTCTGACGTATGCCATCATTCCCTCTAGCGACACCTCCGCCAGCGACTCTCGCGACTTCACCACCTACGTAGTAGACCCCACGCCACCAGCCTCGCCATCCTCTTGCCCCGCCTTTATTCCCTCCTCGCCAGCGGCCGTCACGGCCGATCGGCGCTCCTGCCTGCCGTGAAATTTCGCCTTTCGCCGGCCGCCTTCATCGGCTGCGATTGAATGGCGGGCGCCGGTCGAGAGCTGACGCGTCATCAATCGACCTCAGCGCCAGCCGTGCGCAGTCACCGATGCTGAGAGATGGCCCCGGCGCCGGCAGATGGACAAATCGGTCCGCGACTGTCCGTGGGCGAGAGGGGGTGGGGGACATGGATCGGCGCCGGTACAAGCGCCGCGGATGGAACCCCGCCTGCTGTCAACACCGGAGTGGCGGAGTCAGAGCTCCACGAAACGTCACATTTGAAGCGAGCGGGAATGTTTTGTGCATAATATTATGCTAGATAAAAATGCTTCTGGACATCTCCCCTATTTCTGCCGAAACAGGCGCCCGATAATTTATTGTGCATCTCGGCAGATGAGAATGGCGGACTCGTAATCACTTGATTTGAGCTAGTTGGCAGGGAAGCGTCTATGCTATACATATCTAACTAAAATAGTTGTAAGTAAGCTACGCAGCAGTACTGCAGCGCGGGTTATTCGGTGTTGAACTGAACGCCTCGGCCTGGCTTGGCGCACACCACGCATATACGAATGTTGTGTCCGCCTCTCCTCCTGCGCTCACTATGCGTCACTGGAACCTAGTCAATGGCGTTCCTCTTCTTTACAGTGCTGGGCTTCATGCCAGGCGTTCCAGAGTGACCACTTCATCAGGGACTACTGTGAACGCAACAAAGCCTGCGTAAGTAAAACACGTACTCGCCCTCACCATGTGCTGTAGCTTCGGCCCGAGGAGATTGCCACGCATCCTTGCCGTACATTGGCGCTATATGGCGGCAGCAGCATGGCGCGGCAGCAGCTCCCAACGAACGAATGCTCAAAGATGGAGACCACGGCTTGGCTTCCGTGCCTGACCCCAGCCTTACTCGCTGCGCAGACGGCGGGCTGCCGCCAGGCGTGCCGGTTCTACCTGGCGCCGGGCGGGCCAGCCGAGGTCACAGAGGATCACCCGGAGGTGGTCCTGGTGGACCACGTGCAGGGCGCCCTGCCCGAGACGCCCGCCTACAGCATAGTGGACGGCGAAGAGGCCGGCTGGAGCGGAGCAGCCGGTCTCGGGGTGGAGCTCCCCGGAGGTGCGGAACCACAGACGGACACCGAGGTGAGCCGGCACAGGTGTTCGCCCTTCTGCGCGCGCCTGGTTCAGGGAGCTGTGGCTGACTTTTACTTCCGTTTGCGGCATGTTGGTCGCTGTGATTGTAGGGGCACGTGTGTGCGTCGGCGGGTGCGAGGCTTATGAGCACCTCCGTTTGGACGAACAGGGAGTGCACTCGGGATTGGGTACACGGGACGACCGGGCCCGCACTCGGGATTAGGTACACGGGGCGACCGGGCCCGCACTCGGGATTAGGTACACGGGACGACCGGACCCGCATGCGGATTTGCATCGCCCGTTGCGGTTCTCTTTACCACCTCCGTCTGCCTCTAACGGTCATCAATCAGCCTGACTAAATCTGCAGTCTTTGTAGACGCTTCCGAGCATTTCATGCAAACGAAACAAACGCGTTCTATGCCGGATTGAGCTTCCTGTCTATCAAAGGACACCTTCAGCCCTGTAGGGCATGCATAAGGTTACGATCGGTGGCTTAACGGAAGCTTTGTTTCAAATAGGTGCATGCATAAGTTTTTCTTCCTTCGGTCCCTGTTTTGGCCGCCTTCGTGTCTTTAATGAAAATAGTACATTTCGATAGTTAACCGTGTCGGTACTAAACTGTGTGGAACAATGCAACCGAGCGTTTTCTTCACCAAACATCAAAGTCAGGCCAAGCTTAGTTGAACAACGAGGCGTGTGCTGTGTGGGCTCCCTGTGAACGCGTCAACACCCATCCCGCCGTCCAGTGACCCTACAGATACGCCGTGCGCTAGGGATGGTGTGTGCTCCCTCGAGATGTCCCCAGCGTGGTTCTCGCGCATTTTTTGCCTTCCGAACCTTCATCCCCATTGTGTTCAGGGTCGCCGCGTGTTTTTCAGCTCGCAGCGTCTGGGTGGTGACATTGTTCTCCGTTTGTTTTTGCGGACGGGGTGAGCCCTCGAGGCGGGCTGATGCTATCTGGCGAGGACTTAAAGCGTCGGCGGCCGCTCTGATTAGCATCGCTTATTCGGAGCGATGGCGATCAGCCGGCGGTCGGGGCCGTGCCCGGCTGCCGGTCACGCCGCCGAGTCACGCCCCCCCCCCCCTCCCCCCGATCCTATCTAGGCCGGCCCTGACGCTCGGCGCCCCTGGCGGCAGGCGCGCTGGCCGCTGCGGCTGGCCGCCATGCGGTTCGGCTCGCCGCTCGTCTCGGCTACGGTGGCCTGGGAGTCGCGCGGCGCCGGCGTGCAGTACCTGGCCACCTGGGAGCTGCTGTCGGGCGGCCTGCGCGGCCACCTGGTGTCGGCCGACACCTCGGCCAGCCTGCCGCTCTGGCCGGACGAGCAGTACCTGGTGCAGGTGAGTCAGCCGCCCCGCCCCCACCCCTCACGCGAGCCTGCTGACGGATGGGCCGCTCCGGGCCGCGGCGGACGCGTTTCTCGGACTGAGTGCGGTGCGTTCGATTTACGCAAGTCGTGAATGCTGCAACGGCGTATGGTAATGTGACGGTGCGCTGCACGTGCGCATTCCGTCGTTATTTATGGCCGCTATCAGGGGATGCGCTAACCCCACCCTGCACGATAAATCAAAACACCATCAATCATCTCGCACGGGTATGCGTGTGTGCATTTGTCCCCTCCCCTCCTCCCCGTGCCCTCGCAGTGACGGCTGCCTCTCGGCGTTATCAGGTGTTCAGCAACGGTGCCGCTAGTCAGCCGCTGCTGGTCAGCACCAGCCGATCGGCGGCGCCGCCCGAGTCCGCCAGCCAGCTGAGCCCGTCGCTCCCGGACCCAGCTGAGGCGGACGTCAGCGGACAGCCGGCGGTGGCCGATCGGTCCCGGCCGCCGGCAACGCCGCTACCCGAGTCAGCACCCGAGGAGGGCTGCCTGCCGCGCGCGCTGAGAGTGCGCCTGCTGGCGTTGCTGCTGCTGGCGCTGGGCTGCGCGGCGGGTGTATTTGCCTCCTGGTGCTGTCTCCGTCGCCTTCGACAGCTGGCGGCGGCCGCCGACGCCGACCCCGCACCCGACTCTGACCCCTACTCCGAAACCGAGTCGGTCTGCGACTCGGTACTGGATGCGGACGCGGAGGCCGGCGGCGAGCGACGGACGCTGCTGGCTCGCGGTCTACTGAGATTGCCGCCGCAGGTGCTGGCCGACCCGCGCAGCGCGCCCGTCTTCACCGTGCCGCGTATCAAGCGGTGAGCCGCTGAGGACGCCACGGCAGTGGCGCACCGGCGGACGGCGCGAGACAACCAAAGAGGTGTTACTGTTCTGTTGAGGCTGTGACGTGTTTTGTTACGGTGGTCCCGGCTCGGGCCGCTCTGTGATACCATTTAGAGAGTTAGAAGCGCAGCGGGTACCGGCGCTGCTGCGAGCGTGGAGTGTGAATGGAGCCACGGGCGTCATTCCGCGCCTGTCGCAGAATACAGTGCGTGTGGGTCCTACGTCACTCGGATGTAAGCGTCGTAAGTTGTGGTATTTTGTTGTTCAGACAAGTGCCTCCTTGTTGTCTCCAGCCGGTCATCACTCGGCCTGGCAATGAGCAGTTGTCTAGAAATGCAGTCGAAGTGTCAGCAAGGTCAGAAAACCTAGGCGAAACTGTTGCAAAATCCACTTACACCATCGACGCAACATGTGGTCGCACTGCCAGTGATGCGATTACCAGTCGAACCTACGCATGCATACACATCACGGGAGCGATATGGGTTCAGCCTGTGCATACCTCGCTCGCATCGTGTAAATACAGCCTTCTTGTGAGCCTGCCGTATGTGCTGGCCGGCGAGCGTGCCCCAACGCGGCGGCGCGGACTCACCCCTGCCGGCGGCGGCCGTTCCACGGAACGAGGCCGGCCCTCCGCCGGCTGCGGAGAACGACGCCGGCAAACGGCCGCCCACGGCGGCCCGGCCACGCTCGGGCAGGGCAGGCAGGGCAAGCCCGGGACGGGCGGCACCACCCCGCCGACGGGCGGACGAGCGGAACAGCTCGTCCTTGGCGAGGGTCGGCTCGGAGGGAGTTGACCTCATAACTGGTAGCCTGCTTCAGCATCCATATTCCGGGCTCATATCGTCTGCCTAGCAAACACCCACTGCAAGGGTTAACTCGCTATCAAGGGAGTGGAGCGGTCGCCCGCTCTGCTTGACCTAGCATTTTGCAAGTCATCGGCAATGCACTTCTCACAGCGGCGCACACGAGCCAAGTTTGTGTGCCGATCGTGCGTGCGAATCAGCCGGAGCAAAGTAACGTTACGAGGTCTGCGAGTGATGCCCCGCAGGCAGCAGCCGCCGCCGAGCGCCTGTCGCCGCTGCCGTCTATCACCAGCACGTCGCCGCTGCCAGCGACGGTGTTTGACAGCCGCATAGCTCTTAAGGGATTCTCACACACGCACGCTGCGAGCTACGCACACGCTGGGGTGAAGCCAGCGCCGGATCTTGGATGGGGCGAGCTGGGTGCGGTTTGAGAGGCCGAAGTTGGCAAAATTTCATTTCTAATATCGGTGCTTCAGCAAAGATCACGTGAAACGACAATGCAGACACTATAGCTTCTGGGGAGGAGCGATGGCCCCGGCGCACTAGGGTCCTGGTCACCGCGGTGACCCCTTTGGATCCTTCCCGGACGCGAGGGGCGGGCGGCCGGAGCCCGGCGGCGCTACCGTAGCTGCAGCACACGGGCCGTATGCTAATCCGGCCGGACTAATGAGGAGGTGCGCGGTGGCCGTCGGCCGCCGCGTGCAAATGCTAATGCGGGCTCATAATGGTGCGTTTCCTCACCGGCGTGGGATACGCCGCGCGGCCGGCGGGATCGGCGCTCCTCACGGGGCCGCGTAAAGAGGACGAAAAAACGCGCGCACCGCCGCCGAGCCAGCCCCGAACCGCGCGCTCCCCAGCTGCCCGCCGCTCCGCAGCCGCGGGGTTATGTGACACGAGGCGCGGGCAAAAACGGAGGTGTCGGCGCCCAAGGTTTATGGGGCGGTAGGCGGAGCTATCGGGCGGTATCGCGACCGGTGCTGGCGGTCCAGGCGGTGCCGGGATCGGCCGTCTCTTCTGGACCGGCAGTCCCGGCACGTCGACTCCCTCCGCCTCGCCCCGCTGTCTACGCTCCTGTAATGGACGGCGCCGCCTGAGTGATTGGTCCGCGGCTCGGCGCTGTTGGCGGCAATTAGGACTGGTGCTTGGAGAATGGCCCGATCGGGAGGTCCGGGCGCTGACGGATGTGGCGAACCTCGGGCAGCGCACAGACACCTGACGTCTTCCTCTTCAGCGAAGCTGACGCGGCCCCTCTCGGTCGGTCAGCCGCCGTACCGGCTCTTGCAGGCCGCGTGAGGAGCACGCGGAGCTGTGGGCGTCACCCCGACCTCACGCGCCCCGGTCCTGGCGAGATCGGGGCCAATCTAGTCCGGCGACCTGGCCGGCACGCTACAGCTTCAGCCGCGCCGACGCCGCCTGCCGGCTCGGACGCCTCTGTCACCGCTCCACATCGGGTGACGCCATGGCAGCGATCTGGCCGTGTCGATCTAATCTACCGACTTCAGAGGCGTCGCTCGACTCGCTCCGATTGTTTAATGCGAGCAGCGGCTGTTCACGCTCACCTGTGATCGACGCGCGACACCCGACACTGGCCGCCTGTTTCTCTGCAGGGGTCGAGGCAATAAACAGGACCGCCAATGCTTCGGCCGGCCCTGATCGGGTGTCGACCGATCGCGGTCCACATCTGTCCGGGCCGGTGTGTGTTTCGGCCGATAGCTCGGGGCACGCCGGGGCGGCGGGCGCGGCGGTCCGCACGGTCGTGGCACCGGCCCGCAGAGGCGACTGTCTGCAGCTCCGCCGGCGGAGGCGGCTGTCGGTGAGTGGCGCTGCACCGGCCCTGCTGGTGGGAGCCAGTCGGCTTTGAGCCTGTTCGTGTGTTTTGTGGCGGTCTGCCCTGGAATCAGCCGCAGAGCGTGCTGTTCATCCCCTAAAGCTCAACTGTCGACCGACAGCCGCTTTCAACTCTGAACTGTCGACCGACAGCTGCTCTCAACTCTGAACTGTCGACCGACGGCTGCTCTCAGCTCTGAACTGTCGACCGACAGCTGCTCTCAACTCTGAACTGTCGACCGACAGCTGCTCTCAGCTCTGAACTGTCGACCGACAGCTGCTCTCAACTCTGAACTGTCGACCGACAGCTGCTCTCAACTCTGAACTGTCGACCGACAGCTGCTCTCAACTCTGAACTGTCGACCGACAGCTGCTCTCAGCTCTGAACTGTCGACCGACAGCTGCTCTCAACTCTGAACTGTCGACCGACAGCTGCTCTCAGCTCCGAACTGTCGACCGACAGCTGCTCTGAACTGTCGACCGACAGCTGCTCTCAGCTCTGAACTGTCGACCGACAGCTGCTCTGAACTGTCGACCGACAGCTGCTCTGAACTGTCGACCGACAGCTGCTCTCAGCTCTGAACTGTCGACCGACAGCTGCTCTCAACTCTGAACTGTCGGCGGCGTGGTTAGCTGATTTTATCTGAAACTATGTCATTTGTTGTGAATGCTATCGCCCGGCCCCGGAGGACGTTCCTGTCGTCTCAGTCTGCACCTGATCAAATTTATAACGCGCGCGGTGTTGTCAGGGCGAACATCGGTTTCAGTCGTGGTTAGTTCGCCCGGCTGCCGCCCCGCTCACAGGGTGCATGGAGTTGGTGACAGCTGATTTTGCTTAGCACCCTTTCACCCGCCTGATAAACGGTTTGTTCCAATGGTCATTGTCATTGTACAGCTATTGCATCAGCAAACAATGAAAAGGAAGACAATGGCAATGATTAAATCAAATAAGTTTCTAACAGACTGTGCATCTTTTTGGAACAGAGTGGCTTTGACATTCCAACAGAGTTGACTGTTTTCGAGGTAGAGATATCAGGTCAAACGGGCGGTGAAGAGCGGCGGTTCTGATTTATACGCATCTCAGCACCGTAGAAAACATGCGTTTTCCACAAACTCTGTACATCTAACATCTGCCACTGATTTTAACAGAAAGCAGGCTCAAGTGCCGGAGTATGGGTTATGGGGCAACGTGCTATTTCTTGCGTCATTTATGATGCGTTTGATAGAAAACCGTCCCACATACATTACTGACATTTTCGTGTAAGGTGTCCCAGGCGATGACGATTCTGTGTGTTCTGGAGAGGGCTGGGCCACAGATAGCGATGGATATCTCGAACCGCTCCAACAGAAGGCGATTCTAGGTGCCGGGCGGTCCGCGAGTCCGGCGACAGCCACGCATTTACAGAGCCCCTGGTGCATCCTGCCCGTGACCACCAGTGAACGTAGCAACGTGTCGTCAGCAAGCCCCAGCCCTGCCCCATGCCGTAAGGAAGCCCTGTGCTCGGTCGTCAGTGAGCCCTGCCCAGGTCGTCAGGAAGCCCTGTGCTCGGTCGTCAGTGAGTACCGCCCAGGTCGTCGGCGTGCCCCGCCGGCCGGGCGTGTCGCCCCTGACCTGGCCGGCGGTCATGACGGACGGCCGGCCGCGCGACACAGGCCTATCGCATCCGATCGCCGCTCGCCGTTTCCATAAACACCGCCAGCGCCGGCCACCGATTCTATCGGCGAATTTACGGCGCGCCGGGAGAGGGCTGCCCCGGAGGGGGCCGGCTCCGGCCTTTCTTCCCCGGTCCGGCCTGCTGTTTAGGCTGAAATAGGAGGCCGGCAGCTTTGTGGGGATTTCGAGTGGGCGTATTTAAGGTGTGCCAAGCGCCACCGCGTCCTAATCGTCTCCCGGGAGTCAGAGTCGGCCCGAGACTGGCACCGCGGCGCGACAGCGAGCGCCAGCCGGCTGCTGGGCCGTGCCACCAGCCGCACCGCGGCGCGCGGCGCCATCAAAACAATCGGCCACTTTATGCCACTCCGTGGGCGTAAAATCCGCCCACAAAGCGGGCCTGTGCGTTGTAAACCCAGGTGCAAAGTCGGATAAATCTCCCCGGGCTGTTCATAAATAATTCAATCATGCCCGCGTTGCAAGACGTCGACGCAGCTTGAGCACTCCGCTTTGGCTGTGCGGGTGCTTTATGGGTGTGCTTAGCCGCAGCCGACAAGGCTCGGGTTTGTTTTGGGAGCTTGCAGGCACTAACATAAAACACGCATCGGAGCTGCTTGGGAGCTTCAATGCTAGATGCTCCTCGGAGGCGGCCGACTGAGTGGCTTTGTGGGGAGCATACCACAACAGACATCGAAATGATCTTAGTTCGATTATCTTTTACCGTGGAGCTGATGCCGGGCTCAGCGCGTAAACTGGTGCTTCTGTTTGCCAAATGTGATACACCATATCGCAGTTTGTTGCAAGACTATTTATGTAGCCGCACATTAATGCAAATCACGTTTCGGTACAGCGGCCTCCTTTTCGGGACCGAGCGGAGACGTCGCGCGGCAGCTGCATCCAGCGGTGATTATTTGGGGTCACGCCTCACCGCGCGCGCCGCGTGTCCGGCAGGGGGTGGCAGTGGTGACGGGCCACATCGCGCAGCTTCGAGAGCAAACATACCGCCGCGTCCGGAGACTCGACGGCGCTGCAAGTCAGAGGATCGCCTTGTCGAATGTCACGCGCCGTCATTTTCAAAGCGGGAATGACCTGGGTCCGGCCGGGGAGCCGGGCGAGACGTCGGGAGAGCTGAAGGCGGACGTCAAACGTTTAGAAACACGACAATGAGCGTGTGCGTCTGCACGGCCGCGGAATTGTCAAGAAAGTCCACGTCGGACAGCTGAATGGTTGCAAGCTTAA